TTAGAAAAAAAAAATATTTTTTAATTTTAATTTTTTTTTAATTTTTTTGGATCAGGGGAATAGTTGGTTATGGCAAATCGGAGGGGCGAATATATTGGTCGATCCGATCTTGGTTGGGAATCTAGACTTTGGAATTCCTTGGCTGTATGATGCTGCAAAGAGATTTTTGAAAAATTTCAAGGTATTATTTTTGTTTACAGTCCTAATTAAATATATATCTCTTTTTTTAAATTTGTTTATGGTGTAAATAATGTGTTGTGTAAATTAGTGCAGCTTGATGATCTTCCTGAAATCGACTGCTTACTGATTACGCAAAGCCTTGATGACCATTGTCACCTGAAGACGTTGAAGCCACTTTCTCAAAAGTTGCCGAATCTCAGGGTTATTTCGACTCCTAATGCTAAATCGCTTTTGGATCCTCTGTTCAACAATGTGAGTTAAGTTGTTTTTAAGTTACTTGGTGGAAATATTTAGTCAATGCGTTCGATTCGGCGATAAATTTGGTGTATTATGAGATAGAATAGAAGTGCATAAATCACTTGGAATACTGCATTTGGATGAAAGGATTTGAGCGAATCATTTCAAATAAGTGATAACAAATTATCCATTGAGCTTGACAGCTTGCTTGGATTGATTCGTGTGACAATGGATTTCAAATCTTTAGCTCTTGTTTTTTAAGTTACTTTTTGAGCTGTGGTGGTGAATTTCAAATCCATCTTATTTGGACTCATTTTGAATTATTCCCCAAGTTATTTCCTCAAATTCAATTCCTTCAATCTTAATGCACTCTTGGGAAAATAAAAAACCGAGCTCAAATATACAAAAAGATATAGTTATATAAGTAAGCCTATAAGCGAAGGGTATAATATAATTATTCTTATACTAACTCTAACAAGTGGTGAAGCTCTTCTTGATAGAAAATTAGGACACTAAAGATTTGTATTATTGCATATGTTATTGCTAGAAAGCCATGCAGGTCACATACCAAAGTAAGCTTGTGCTGGCAGAAATCCTAGGAAATATTTGGCAGAACACTTTTGAGCTTTACCTAGAAAAAGAAGAAAAGCTTAACCGAATAAGTGTTTTAACTTGAAGTAACAGAGCAGAAAAGCATTATAGAGAAGTTTGTCTGCATGATATTCACCATCTTTTTTTTCGTATACAGTTGAGTTCCCACTAAATGGAAACATAATTAGTGCAATATCGATTATGGGAACATCAATAATGTCTATGCATGCCACGGTTAAAAGCAGTCCTACATTTGAGGAAATTAAATTCTGTTAAATAGTAATTCAGTACAGAGCACTCACATTTTTTATTACAAAATCTTAGGTTACATATCTAGAACCGGGTCAAAGCTCGGATATCCAAGTCAGTAACGGTACTTTAGTTAACATCCGGGCTACTCCAGGCCCAGTTTTAGGTCCACCGTGGCAGCGTCCGGAGAACGGGTATATTCTGTACTAATACCGTTATATTTCATTATGCTAGACTCCCGTTTTTCAAATTATTATTGCATTTCACATATTCTTTTTATTTTATTCTTTAACCTCTTGCTCCAGTTATATTGTCACCTCTCCTAACCGCCAGCTGTCACTATACTACGAACCCCACTGTGTGTACGATGAGATTTATTGGAGAA